TTTGACATCAGTTTTGATGAAAAAAAAACATGCAAAATGGTAATTTTTCGAAATTTTAAGACGTCTTCCCGTTGCCATGGTTACAGCAAATTTACGATTGAGCATCTTGTTACAGAGGCTATGGTTCAATTAATATATGTGCTAAGTTTCATCAGTATTAAAGTATTTTTCATAGTTTTATAGCAGTTGGAACCTGTAACAGGAGGCTTTCAAATGAAAACGGTCATTTTTCACAATATGCTAATGGGGTAAAAGGTTCAATAAACACAGGAATTCATGCTCTTTTTGGTAGAACGCAAAATAAAGAACTGACGTGGGCAGTAACTTGCACTTTCAATTACCGTCCATGAACAGGCTCAATCAAATATGATAATCAAGATCATCAAGGAAAGGCCGCGTTCAATGAACGGAGTCCCCCACCCGACCCAGTAATAAGAGCAAGTGGCAAGGAGCCCGGGAGGACCCCAAACAAAAACAGGAAAGGGCACAAGGCAGAGCACGGGCAGATAAACCATTTCATAAAAATAAATAATTAATAACTGATAAGGAACTTAATGAAAACAAATAAATGATTGAACATTAGGCCAACAAAGTCAAAAGGCACAGAGCAAGGGGACATGAGATAAAATTAACGAGAAGAAAATAGCTGCTCAACGGTGAATCAATACCTGGATTCCCAGATCAGCATTAATTCTCTCCGAAATTTTTCTGAAATTATTAACGTTTACTTTTTTCTCTACGAATGACATATACATACAAGTTTAATTGGAAATAACACTTGCTTTTCATAATAAACGTTTTCTTAATTATATTTCCTGGCACACATATATATGACGCTTATTCGCTAGTTTGACTGCTGGAAACGGTGCTTATTTTATTTTGGTCAGACAATTTGTTAAATGATAATATCTTTCAAATACCTGACGTACTACTAAGGTGTTTGAAACCTTTTTATATGGAGTGCTTGGAAGTTATTTCCGATGATTACAATACCGGTAAACTTGTATCAAATGAAAAGTTATCAGATAAACTATTCTGTACATTATTAAATACTGTAAATCAAGCAAAGGTGAACACACATTTATTTGAAAAGGTAACACTCTAGTACGTTATTTAAATACTGCATGTAAGCCTTGTTTGTTGTTCTGTTTTTATGTAGATTTTAACTTACTTTTGGTCACAATCTCGGCGATTGATCAAATTCACCAGATAACTAACCAGTAGCAACATTTTACCCCACAATGATCATTTACTAATCCCACATGATTACTAAATTAGTGCTAAAAGACGAATGACGTGCATGACGAATGATGTTTTGACTCGATCTGTACTGGAAAATGTTTCGCTTTGCTCGAGAACTAAATAGCGTATCCGATGCTTTTTCTATTTGGCTAAGTGATCTCAACATGGCAGACACATAATTAGTGGATGTGAGACCAAAAAAAGGGTTGCAGCGCCACACTTAATAGATCTACTGTGTTTTGATATATACTGGACAAGGCGCTCAAATGATTCAATGCTAAAATATCGTTGTTTAACCGCCGAAAAAGCACTCTCGAGGCAGTATTCAGTTGCGGTCGTTTAGTTTCGAATAGGCCAAATTTACAAATAAGCGACCATTTTGTAATTGAAGTTGATCTTTGAGCTTCTAAGTATTTGAAGTTGCTATATATTAAGTTTCAGTGGCTAGTATTGTGTTTCAGCTATCAAGTTAACTTGATTGTAGTTGTGTTTGACCCATTAATTCTGGGGAGTACCTGTCAGATTTGGATGTATGATCCATAAAGCTTGCTCGGAAATCAGCTCTTTAATCAAAAGGGTATGCAGAAGAATAAATATAGTGAAAAAAGTTTGTGCACGTCATCCCGTTTGGATGTTATTTTCAGATTGTGCATTGTTTAAGAAGGAAGAAACACTATAGCTTGTGATTTAATTTTTGACGTTACTATAGTTTTGTTATTTTCCAAATAGCGGTAATCCACTCTTTTTGTCTTTGATAATTGCGACCAAAACAATGATTATGTGCCAGAAAACTGGAAGGTGGACATGTATTTTAATTGTTTGCTTTGAGACACATATGTATATGTTAAATATGAAATGAATTTATTTTAGGTGTGTTAGGTTTTGATTGTGGCGCTGTCAGTTGTTTGCCAAGTAGGTTTGAAAACTGTGTATTGAGCCTTGAAAACTGTGTATTGCTCCCTCTAAAATGTCTATTCATCTCTTCAGATCGATTTATATATAATAATGAATGAAGGCATTTAAAAATCGGCAAAAAATCAATATATTTACGATGCGATTATGATTTCACAAGCGTTTAGAGGTACAGCTCAACACTGTAGTGAGTTAAATCAATTTAGTGATACGATAATGATTACTGTCTAAAGTATTGATAATAAGCTCAAAAAGCCAACACATCTTTAAAATCAGTTGTCTGCATAAAACAAACTTAACACTAAAATCTGAAATTGCCTAACAAAGCAAAAACACTTTATCCTGATACCTGACTACAATACTGAAAGGCCAACAAAGAAAACACAAATAAATTTGGACATCAAATGACCACGTAATTGGCCGTTACCAGACTAAAACACTATAAATCCGACAATAACCCAACAAATTATGACCCACAAAGCAAACACACGTAATATTACAGGCACACTTTGCTTCTGGGACGAATTAATTTTATAATGGCTAACATGAGTAAAATATCATTTAAATAATAGTTTTAGATTTTGAAATATGTAAGTTGCTTGTTAACTGAAGAAAGAAGCGGTTAATGTAAAGTTATATGTCATTTAAGTAACAAAATGTACACTTAGTTGTATTTTGACTTCCATAAAAAATACTTATTCTCTATAACTGTACATGTTGCAAAAAAAACAAAAAAACAAAAAAAAACAACAGAGGTGAACAACGGGTCATGTATGAGTATCTTTTTTTAGAAAATAAATCAGATATTGGAAAAAGTAATTAATGTATTTTGACTTTTAAGTCATATGGCATCTGTCTCGTACCTGAATAAAATACTGGTTGATAGAGCCGACAATGTTTATCTAACGTCAACGAGAATACAGTTTCAACAGTATGGTTATGTTTAACTCCCTTATCAGGCAATTTTGTTTCCATTGACATTTACATAAATGGCTATGAAATGCCAACGTGAATACAATGCCAGACCAATTTTGCGATTATTATGCCAATCCTTCTGGCATTCTAATAACTCATTTTACGTGTTATAATACCAATATGTCCAATAAACAATTATTGAACTTATTAGGATAAATATCATGGACACATGGGTTGGTTTTAGCTTTACATTAGTTAATTGATACTTTATAAGGAATCGAAGTGAGACTTAAAACAATGTTGGATCACCAGATTTAATACCGAATTCCGGTATGTATTAGTCAGGGTCTTTTAGGTTTTGGCCCCTCTTTGTTCTATAGTTCTGCGTTCGTTGTTCTATCAGTCACATTTGGGACTTATTTCTGGATCTGAGCATACCATCACCGACGAGAAACTCACACACCTCACAATAACAATAACAGATAGATCAAGCAATAGTAATATGATAAATGCACTTAATTCGAGTAGTTAATGAGAAATCAAAATTGTATTTATCCTTAAATCACTTTTATTGTTTCCCTTGTATTCCTATTATGCCTAGAATCCTCGACTTAAATTTAGTTCTGTGTTACAACTTATTGTCTTTGTGAAATGTTCATTTTTATACGGAAACATTAGAAGCCTCCATTTAGTGCGATCATGAGATGTAAGACGACTGATTTATGTTCGATTTGAGCAGATGCTTAAACAAAAATCTATTCATTTTTTTACAAAAAGACTAGACATTTTTTTGTCATTCTTAGTCATTTTTCTCAAATTGAAGTTTTTGTCAAGGCGAGTGTTTGTCAAAAAGACAAATGTTTTGCAATAGAGGAAACTATACATTTTCGTCCAGACAAAAACTTCGGCGAAATAAACCTTTTTTGTAACCTTAGTGGATAAAATTAATTGAGTTTTGTTAAAACTTCTAATTAAATTTAATTAAAATCGGTTGACTTACACGACAATATCTTAATTATTGGAGGCCCTATAACGTTTCCATTTTTTACCTCTTTGAAATTTGTTTGTGAATGTGTCTTTTATTTATTCTTACTGGTAATGAAATAGTTTCAAAGAAGAGGACTTCCAAGATGTTTCAAATATTGACACATTTTTCAAACATGCGCTCTTTAATACTTACACTGCGGACACGTGCGGGATGACATAATGACGTAACGTTTAAACATTTATAATATCATGCACCTATATTTAGAGAAATGTAACATAAAATAATGATAATATAATGTAAAAATGTTGTAAATTACCATTTTCGATAGTTAACAGTTGTATTAATTTATTTGGTGGTTTTCAAATTTTATTTTTAACATACAACTATTACCGAAATGTCCTTAGAAATGATTTGGGGATTCACTACCTTTTCAGAATCATCTCTTACGTTAGATTTTAAACCGATCAAAGTAGTATTTAATCTGTAAAATACCGGTATCACATTGCCAACAAAACAGAAGTATTGGGCTATATTTTACATTTGCCACACAAGAACAATTCCAAAGCAAAACAACACTCTAGAATATTCTAGACGCTTTTCATTTCAATGGCTTCTTGGTACCAACAATACAGCTTATCCCAAACCATCTAAATATAAACAGCAGCTTCCGGTCTTTTATAGTTATTGAATTATTGTCCTCAAGGACCATATTGATATCATAACAGAGTTTTGTAAATTAATTTGTGGCATTATAATAAAAAACATGTTGGCATTTGTTGCCCTTTTAAACGTTTGACAATCTGTTTGATCTATAATTGCAATATTCCTGAATATCATTAGTGATAATTGACAAGCGATTATTAATTCAACATTATAAAATGTCAGACCTTATTCCGGACAGAAAACTGGTACTAGTATTACTCTGCTAGTAGATCTTGTTCCATCAAGATGGAGCTAACAAATAATATTACGGAAATAAATGACAATGACGATTTTTTTTATAGTTAGTTATCAAAGTTTAGTTATGATGAACGGAAAACTTATATTTTGTATTTTCGTTATCTTTGTTTTAAGAACAGGTAAGATAAAATCTATTTTTAACTGAAAGTGTATCAAGTTATATCTTATCAAATATTTCTATAAAATTTATAATCTGTAAAATTATCTTATGATCGATCCTGGAAAAAGTTGTAACGTAGAATGTCTCTGATAATTAACAAACATGAATATTATATATAATGAGAATAAAATGTTCTGGAACAAAATATGCTGCTATCAGTTTAGGATAAACATATTTATTTCCCGAATATAAACATTATACAATTACAATTTTATACAGTGGAAGGAAAGGATTAAAACGGGAGGTATTATCTTCCTTTCGTTAGTTTATCCTAGTTCGAAGTCCTACTTTATGTATTTACAAACAGTTTAAACCGTGCATTTATTACGAAAATTATCTTGAAATTTCAATATTTAGAATGTATTTTTGTCGATTAAGATTCTCTGTTAATCATATTAGGATACAAATAGGAAGGTATGCGACATATAATATCAATTTATATAACTACTAATACTAACCATATATATGACAAGTTTAGGCCGCTTACTTCACAAAAATGATAGAAGATCTCTCAAAGTGATCCTTTGTTAAATATATCTTTTAAATAACAAAAATTTCATTTAATACCGTTTTTTATAACATTTCTATAACTGTAAACTTTTACACCACTCGGCAGCTTGGCCACCAACTTTACAAAAAAATGATAAAATTTAAAGCTTCTCTCAAAGTTATATTTTCTTTTTATATATCATTTAAGTAACAAGTATTGTCTTTAGAACTTTATTGAATTGCCTTTTGTTTTGTCCTTTCATATTAATTAAGAGTTGTTTAATTTATTAATCAAACTTGTAATATATTGAGGCCGCTAGGCCTCCACCTTCAATCCGCTTGGTAGTCACGCCGTCAACTTTACACCGTAGGGCCGCTAGGCCGCAAACCTCACGCTGCAAGGCCGCTGGGTCGTTATTCAGCCAACTTCACGCCATTCGGTCGCCAGGCCACCAACTTCACACCACACGGCCTGGGTTGCCTGACCGTCATCTTCACGCTTCCAGGACACTCGGTCGCCAGCCCGCCAACTTCACGCCGCCAGGTCTCCAACTTCACACATCTTGCCACTGGCAGTTGTTATACAAACAAAACCCCCACGTTTAAAAACTCTATAGACTTACACAGGAATATAGAATAAATTGTCGTTTTCCCAGCCAATTCGGGGGCGCAAACAAACCTTTACAGTTACAGCTTCGAGGGTTGACTTATCTATTGTGACCGTTAATGACCGATACAAGTTTGTACCGGCAGATTAGGTTGGAAAAACCCAAAATTTGCCGAGTTCTGGATTACATCTACAGTTTGGTTAAGTATTTGGAGCAATTGATATCTGTTTAGTTTTGTACATGCAAATGGTATTGACTTTAAGTTAGATAGATGAAAGGTTATCAGCCATTTGTATCCCCATGTTGTTATTACTTTGATGCCTGATAGTATTTGTCAAGCAGCGATTTGCGGGTTTTTAATAACTAAAACAAGAATTGTTTCATCAACAAGAAGAAGACTTATTAAATTAGAATGAAAATTTATCTATATAAATAAATGAAAATTTAAAAAAGTAGAGGGCCAAGGATCGATTCTGCCGAAATAAACCATAAGAGGATTCGGCATTTATTAGAAATAACATGCATTGAACCGTTTTGTCCATTTGCTCCTATAGAATAATATTACTGTCATACATATGTATTTTGGAAGAACCTTCTGTAAAGATGTGATCGTGAGTAAAACTAAGCGTTGTGTACGGTTCGTTTCCTTTATTCAAACTCTATGTTTACATACATAGGAAATGACGTTACGTTAAAAACATAAATAAACAATTTGCGCAAAAGCGAGGTAACGTGACGTCGCGCCAAATCTACAACACCTTCTTTCAAATTCCAAACAATAGAAGACATAGATTAAAAAAACAACAACATTAAATTATTTTTTAGAAGAGAGGGTTGAATGTGTAAACTTGTTCCTTTAAAAATAAATAAATAAATAAATAAATGCCATTTTTGTATTTCAAAGAATAAGTAAGATGTAAAGGCTCATAACTTTTCTGAATGATTCAACGTTAAATGTTAATACATTGTGAAACCTGGTATAGAAATTCGTTTTTTTATAGATATATTCATTAGAAATTTTCTCAGATGTTGCTACTGATTTTCTGCATTTTTTGCCTGATATTTCAGTCAAGGTTTTTTCTTCTTATGAATATTAATTTTGAAAAAATAAACTTAAGAAAATCAGTCAGTTTGCATGTAATTACATTTTATAAAAAGGAGCATGCTTTTTAAGTAAAGATTAAGCATTCAATTTGATTTTCTTTCCGTCTCCTTTGCCTAAATATTACGTTTAGTATCCAACCTGAAATATACATTATCATAAAATAATTATCAATATAGTTTGCAGCGATGTTATTAGTTCAAATGTACAGATTTTGCTTCTTTTTGACTTTAATCGTATAGAATTCCATTCAACGCTTATGTTTAGATTTTCTTTCCAGTTTTTACACAGCAGAAGTTTGTTGAGGAAAATACGAACTTTCAATATTCTAGATGCAAACAAATATCGGACAATGTCCTGTGCGAGGCGCTTAATATAAGCAAAGGTAAAAAATAAATATGTATATATTTACATGTATCTATTGAAAGTACATTTCATGTTATAATTCCTTATTTCTTTGCGTGCTTTTGATCCTGTGCACAACGTCCATAATCTTTTATTTTTATAATAATGTGATTAATCAATATGTGTTATTAGATTTTGAAAATTATAGGATAAGATATGCGTTATAGATATAGATCGTATTTTATATAACTAAAAGACCTTTTTGGTTGAATTGTCACAGGTGAAGCTCGTGCTATTGACACGAATTATCTGAACCGCATTGGCTTGAATATATTTCTATATCAGTACAATAAAACTGTTAAAGCTGTTCTGAAACCTTCATTTTGTGATGGTGTATGAGCAGTGGCTATGCTTTCATGACTGTACTGCTAGGCGCTGTGCCGTAATTGGACTGGCATATCGATGTGGTGGTATGTGTGTATATATTCTCTCATTTCTATATATATATATATATATATATATATATATATATATATATATATATATATATATATATATATATATATATATATATATATATATATATATATATATATATATATATATATATATAATAAAATATATATATATTAAATTCAATCTAGTTTGAAAACTTAAGATCAATAGTTTGGACCAGTTGCCCAAACCTTCTCCAAATAAATGAATACAATGACCCTTTTGTTGAACAGGGTCAAAGGACAAGGCAAGTCTATGGCCTCCAGGTCCATTTGCAATTCCTATGTCACAATACGGGTGTCCAGAGTATGAGAATCGTGGATGGACACAAAGCGTATTAGATATGAGAATTGAAAAAAATAAACGGGCAAAACAGAAGAAGAGCCAAATGAAGTTATGTGTTAAAGTGCGACATGATACTGAACTGGACACTGAAAGTTGGATTCCTGGAAGATATTCAATTTACCAGATTGGAGAGAAATGCCCGCCAGGTTTCCTTGTTTTAAATTTTAAACAAATAACATACACTACGATATTACATTCTCTGTAACAAACACCTTATTTTATAAAATTGGTTTTTACCAAGATATCTGCAAATAAATAAAAAAAACTCAGAGAAAACACTGTTTTTATACTTCTCGAAGGGTGAACATACAGTCGCCGCTTTGTCAGTCCGTGACATCAACAAAAGTAATATAAATCATGCTCCTAAAGGTCAATATTGGCCCAGTCCCAGGGTTCACATACATAGAAAAACTTATTTTCATGTTCATATTCTTATGTTAAGCTACCAGATATCAGTTATTTGGCATGCATCATAACTATTATTACATAGAAGAACCCTGCAGTAGTTCCAAAAATCAGTTCACTGATATTAAAAAAATGCTTTGCCAAGTAGGTTTTCTTTTTGGGGCGAGCCGGGGTTGTAGATAATACACAATTTACATGTAAGCATATTCATATGGTATACATGTCTTTAAATTCTTATCCTCCGACCTACAACTGCAGATCGTAGATTTTAACATATATTATCACTTTGATGGCTTTATTGTAGTAGAATTATCAGTAGTTATGTAGAAATAATGAACATAAAATGGATGTTTGATCGAGAATCGATGTGTTATATTTAAAGGCAAGTAATAAAAAAGAATGATTTATAAGCATAGCATTTTTATTTTCAATTAATTTGAAGGCATTATAGTTTGTGATCTTGAATTTCTTGTATAATATTATTTGTATGTTTCTTTGATTTTTTATCACTTAAAAGTCAACATTATTGTTGTTTTCAGTCAGTATATATACTCCGAGACATTTGCATAATGGTTAATAATTGTCACTCTGTATTTCAAATTTAGCCCTTTAAGGTCGTGACTGGAACTCGGCGGCGAAAGCTGTACCATGTACAAATATCTCTTAATATCCATTTTCAAAGAGCATAGATTTTAGTTGACATGTATCAATATGTGTCTTAATATTAATTATTGAAATAAAACATGTTCCCGACAAATGTTATAAATGGGTCTCCAGAATATATTTTCAAAATTTATACTTGATAACTCAAAATTTTAATTACTTAAAACAAATTGTATTCGGGCGTATATTGCTACGCCTATGCGGTGCTCTAGTAGTTACTGTAATGTTCTGTGTTACTAATTATACTTGAAAATCATTTCAGGTTTTAGAGATAGAAAAACACAAACAGTCTTCTTTGAATTTGATTCGTACGGAATCATTCCAAATATCTCAGTTTACGAGACAGGTATAATATTATGACACATTTAGCTTTACATAAATGTATAGTATCATTAACAGCACATCCGCAGTATTTGATAAATTATCATGAAATGATAACATGTATGCGTTAAGATAAAAGCTATTTTGTGGAGTTAGTTTGTATATTTCTATCCAAGGTGTTTATATTACAGCAAATAAATCAAAGAGGAATAAATTGAGCATAGCGACGTGTGACAAAATCTACACGTTAGCAGATGTAATCGAAAGCAATGTTACGTTTGGAATGCTGAAAACAAATTTCAAACTGATAAAGGTAAGGTGCTAGAGGGCGTGAGGGATGTTGCACTTATACATTATCCCTCATGTACAGACTCAATCAAACCGAGTCTGCAATTCTTATGTTATTTTGTTGTGATTAATGCTTCCGAGGGATCACTTTGTTTCCAGAATTTTGTACTTCACAACAGCAGGTGTCAAGTGCCGTGTGGCAGCCGTAAAAAGTTGCCCCGTACTTCACTTTAGTGTTGTTATATTTTCTGGTCCTTCGGGATCATTGATTCCAACACTATAAAGTGTTGAGAATTGAGTACCGCTCAAGCCGGTGCTAGGGGGCGTGAGGGATGTTGCACTTATACATTATCCCTCATGTACAGACTCAATCAAACCGAGTCTGCAATTCTTATGTTATTTTGTTGTGATTAATGCTTCCGAGGGATCACTTTGTTTCCAGAATTTTTGCATTATAAGGTCAGGAATACAAACACTTTTTGCAAGTATAATTGAATAGCGATTTTTAACAAACAATTTCGGTTACCATAGAAACACTGACACACGATGCCAAATTTTGATAAAATGTATGTTCGAATTAAAGGAAAGCTTGATGAAATGTTACACTAACTTCACCATTAACGTTTCATCAAAAGAACAGTTCAGATTAAGAGGCATGCTCCTTATTTGCTGATATGCATCTCGTCTTGTTTTTGTGTAGCCTCTACTGAATAGTGGTGAAATATATGGATTACTTCTACGTCGTCTGTCCCTCCGTCTGTCCGTCCGTCACAAAACCTGTCCGGACTACTCTTGATAAACTACTATTGCGATTTCATCCAAACTTTATAAGAATAATCAGTACCTAGTATAGTTGTGCATATCGTCGGCATTATCCGGTACGATGAATTTTGTCAGTCATGGCCCTTTCATAATTGTTATTTTAAAAGTTTGTCCGGACTACCTCTCTTAAACCACTTATGCAATGTAAATGAAACTTTACAGAATTGATCTGTAGCTCAAGTTCTTGGGCATATTGCAAAGGCTTTCCGGTTGAATGATTTTGACCAGGTTATGGCCCTTGAATGAAAAGGTATTTTTGTGTTAAGCCATATACACAGAAGCTTTTCCTGACAACTTCAAAAAAAAGACTACAGGTGCAATTTCATGCAAATTTGATAAGTAGCTGGTCTAGTTGTGCATATAATTGTTTTTTTAAAGGTTCAATGAAATTCGTCAGGGTTATGACCATTTTATTATTTCTATTTTCTTCATGTTGTCCGGTATACTCCTCTTATACCACTTATGCAATTTGAATGAAACTTTACTTACTTGATTGGTTTGTCGAGCACTTGCGCATATAACACGGGTTCTTCGCATAATTTGTATCACTCATGAGTATTCTATTATCATTCTATTATTATCTTACTTTTATTTTGTTTTTGGATACCATTTGGCCCAATTATGGCCCTTGAATAAAAAGGTTGTTAATTAAGATTGCCAGGACTACTCCTCTTAACCACTTATGCAAATTCAATGCAACTTTACAGGATTTATTTGTAAGGTCACTTTATTGTGCATAATACTCAACTGTTAACTTTTCACTTGAATGATCTTAAGTTTTTGTCCTTGAATATTTCTTTTGTGTTTTAGGTTCAATGATATTTTGCTGAGTTATGGTTATCATGAGGCGACACATGTGATCACTGATTGTTCTTGTAATTAACATCTTATCACTTAAATTACTTCATGACTTAAATTGATCCAATCGTTTTATAATACCAATTAGTATTTTTACCACTCATAAGTACTTTATAAATAGTATACTTTATTTTTATTTTTTTGAATACCATTTGCATGAATATTGAAAAAAGTCATATATAAGCTTATATTAAAGACCCTGTATGTTTTGTGATTGTGTATATACCACGCTTGCAAAACATTATTATATAATCATGCAAATAAAACAATTTTCAAACATCGAAGAATATGTAAAATGTGTACTGCAAATATTTGTGCACATTATATTTAATCAATACATTACGTGCATTCATTTTTATCGGAAAACTTGACTTAGAATTTATAGAAAATAAATTTCCAATTATATCCCTTTATTTACATGGAATGTTAAATTTGGTAACATCTTTATAAACTATGCTTATTGGAACTTACAATATTGACAAATCTTAATTTGAGCATCATATTTATGGAATAAAACCATGAAAAAATTGTGTTACAGGATCTTTAAAGATCGATATATAAATATTTGTATTACAGAATGGAACCAAGTGTCCAATGTCAACTTTTTCTACAGAGCAAAACTATTTCTGCAGCACTGTCCCAGGTTAAAACATTTCTCGTACATTCCAAATATTACATTACTGTTTATCTACTACCTAACGTTCATAACTAACCACGTGAATATATAATATACTAACCCGTTGTTGAGCTTAATCTTTAACTAAAAAAGAAGTTATACTTTACAAATTTAAAATGTCAAAGACTTATCTGTTTCTGATATAACTTTCAATGGAAAAAGCACGAAAAAAAAACATGCTTGGATCATTTGGATGGCATGTTGAATTTGTTTTGCAATATTCACAGTCAATTTAACATACAAAGAAAAACGATTTGTAACAACATCTTATGTTAAATCAATTCACATTCGAGACCATTGATCTGTTGAATTATCCACAATCGCGTCAGTATGATTTCAGAGACGCTCTTGTTTATGTATCATAGAATAAACTTTATGCTACATGAATATTTGTCTGTTTTAGTTGCTGATGATACAGTTGGAGGGGCGACACGTATGTATAAATTTACTTGCCATCAATCGTAAGATGTAGAAGAAAGGAAATAACATAAAACTTTATGATGTTGATTTTTTAATTATTATACTTTATTTCTCAAATTTGTTACATCTTACTATATTTTAAAAACTACAATTATTTGTTTTGTGTCAGTTAGATAGTAGATATTGTTCGATATATTAATGTTTTCCTTCACACTTAAGGATGTCAGCAGTCCTTTCTTATCCGTGCTATTTTTGAAGACTTATAAAATGTGTTTCTTGCCTTTTTTTATCTAATTTCCATTACTTTTTGTTATTGTATTCCTTTAATCGCACTATCTTAAGGGAGTTAAGAGCCTTCTATTTAATTGTTCTTATGAATATGTGAGTAATTTAAATGACTTATTTTACAGGGCTGGTGTCGGGGTTCGACTTGATTTGGAATATTGATTCAAAACGTACCGGTATGATTTCAACAAACCAGTTTAACAATTATTCCATGGTTAAGTTATATATCATACCAGTTAATCAAAATATTCCAGGATGAAATATATATCAAAGTTTAGCATCAACATATTTAAATATCGATCTATTGTAAACAATGTTACCTCTTTTACATTAATATAACAATTAAAACATTTTGTTTTGCTAATAAACAATTTTGATGTCACTTATTTTAGATAATGTAAAATTAACGTGTCAAATTGACTTGCGGCGTTCTATGCATGTGTCTAAAATTGAAATGGTTTTCAAGGGGGGAAAAGGGGTGAGTGTATATTTTTTTACCTTTCAATATTTTATTTTATGATAGTATAGATTGTGAATTCCATGCTTTCTTTATATGTAAAAAATACAAACAAATCCGTGATAAGTATTTATTCAATTGGTATTTTGGCGGAAAAGAACTACATGATTTTTATGTATTAAAAGATACACGTGATATAATCACATTAAGGAAGCTTATGTTTTATGTATATGTTTTAATGGATAACATAAACAACTAGTCTTTTTACGCATTAATAAACATTGTTAAGGTGACGCAACCATATTACTATATTGTTGTATGTATGCTATGTATTTTGGGCCTGAGGCCTTTGAACACAAATAAAGTTATTTGAATCTTTGAATCTATTTTATAGCACGTGCACAATTCATTGTTTTAATTATTTACAAATTTTATTTAACAAATGATAAGACCTTTTTTCGTCATGTGACCAAATTCTTTATATCCCCTTTAGATATACCAGCCTGTTTGAAATCCCATGACTATAACAATAACTCAAACGGCCCTGCACAAACCTTGTGATAAAGTTTAAGCTCAAATAAACTTGCTTATCAGACTCGATAAGGAACTATATGAAATACTAGCAATTTATCTACTTTATATCAATCCATTATAGTATTTTTGGCGTTCAAGTCGCATCAACACATACAGTATAGGTATTAGTTTTCTTGTGCAAGAATACCTTAGGTGGCTTTCCGGAAATTTCAGGCACGAACGGGACTGGGTATAACCACTGATTTTTCGTAAGCTAGCCGAATGACTTCCTTACAATGAATAATCTAAAGTCCCTGGTGGGATTTGAACAATAAGCGGCGAGGGGCAATTGATTTTAAGTCAACGGCCTTAACCAATCGGCCACGAACGCCCCTCTAAATCATAGAAATTTGACTTATATTTAGGAAATGAATGGTAATTGCTAATGAAATTATGATAATTAGGTAGATAATAACTACGTTATTTTCAGATTTTTGCACGTTTCAGCTGAACGCCCGACCAAAAAAAAAAAAAACAACAAAAAACTCAGTATAAGTGTACAATTACAAATACCGTATATTTTTGTATTAATATGTATGTTTGATGTTGCAACTCGTAATATATTTTATTTCGAAATTTAAGTATAAAAAGAAGGATATTGATCACCTTATATCATTGTTTTGATCGGTTTGATATTTTAAAAAACTTTAAACATTTTATTTTTTAGGTTGACCTTTAGTCCCTTCGTTTCTGTTTTTAAACTTGATTGATTGTAAAGTAAAATTGTTATGGTACGGCAGTATGTAACAATGATCTACAATGGGCACAGTTTTCTCTAGTATTTTTATTGTTGATAAAAACAATCGAACTCTATCATTTGGTTATTCTTACAAAACACATTACCTGAAAAAAAGTTATATGATATAGTTCTATGTAATTTAGCACGAAGATATGGTAAATAATGCCTTTCATTTATACAGATAACATAACATTTACATGAAAAAATTATGGATTCTATGATAACAAATGTATATTGTACCGTTACATAATTTTTCTTTATCATATTCTGTATCAAGAATTTACCATTTATTTTCTCGTTTTAGATAAATCTGATGTTAATGCAATGCTGGTATAGCGAGATGAATACTGGATTTCTTTATGGTGAAGCACTGAAATGCATTCTTACAGACAAGAATAATAATGGTCGCTTGCTGTTAAGTTGCTGTAAAGACATATTGTTGTAAATATTTTTTCAGCTAATCCGAGTGTACAAACAAACTTCTACAGTTACAACTTATCGGTAGTTCACCATGAAGTAGTAACGGTAGCAATTTGTTTTTTCGCTTATTATCGATATATACTGATTACTAAATATATTTACCAATTTTTAACTGTAAACTTTTTATACCATGATAAAAGTAGTGAAAAAACAACATTCATCGAGTACTGAATCTCTATTATAAATTTTATGAAAGGCAGATTAATTATGAGAAATAAATACAGTTTTTACTTTCCTTGCTGCATGCAGGCTTTATAATAATGGCAAAGTATTGTCTCTTTTTTAAGTTTTAGCAGGTAAACGGTTGAACAAGACTTTCTTAATGTAACTAGTTTCATCTATATGTGTGGCTTTATCTTTTGCTAGGCCCACTCTAAATAATACTACCTTTTGTAATATCAGCACTTACAATACGCAATGTGCAACAAATTCCCAAAAGTCCATAACAATTTTAATGTGTTATATTGACAGTTAAAATGCAATTAATGATAGTTTCCGAAAGCACAGTTAACACATGTAGGGTAGATTATTCATGAGTCACCCTTATAGGTAATCCAAACAAAAAGTTGATTTTTATCTTCTATTTATTTCTCTCTTTGTTTAAGATTTTTCTTTCACATTTTAGAAAAAGAGTTTTCAATTACAGTTACATAAGTTGTTACCGCTTATAGACCTCTCCATGTAAAAATACACAATTGAGGGAAAACAATATACTTCTGTTTCAGACACGTTCGTGCTCGTTACATCACCTTGGATTTTCAAGTCTTTTCTTTAAATAAGACATCGAAATCGAAACTGATTGATAAAGCTGATAAAGCATCATTTAAGATCTATACAACGGATTTGGAATCTAGTAAGCTGTTCTTTATAATATTATCATGTACTTGTATTTGATAATAAAGTACTTAATTTAAAGGTACATTTATCCTCTTAAATGAATACATTTTCCGTCTTTAGAAAGAATAAACGACTGGATGTCAAATGATGAATTCACTCATAACGCATTTAGAAAATAGAAAATGGTTGTTAATAATGTTAATGAAATACTCATAATTTTGTTGTCTCGTTATATTATCGATTGAGTTATACCACACAAACCATGCAACGGCGAGAGTGTAGTAAATCCTTCAAATACAAACGATAATTGTTGCCGTTCCTGGACATAAACAATTTGGTAGATTTGACCATTTCGCCATATCTTAGCCAACCATAATGGAGAATTTAATACTTCATGATAACACAGTAGACAACAAGAGCTTGAAAAGGTGGAACTATAGGGCATGCTTTCTGTCATACCTTTTGGCCAGTTTTTTTTTTATATACTATCCAAATGTGCGAAGCTCGAAATCAGTGTGAAGACTCCTGAGGGATAAATTCGAAGTTTTCCTCTTAAAGGAATTATGGCTCAGTAATCTATTTAATGAAAAAAAAGATGAATATCCGGCTGAACAGAATTTTTGGATGTGTTGATACTTGTATATGGGTTTAATAAATTAATATCAATGCAACGAGTCGTCATTTGAGTTAAAAAGTAATAGCTGTCGTTTCACTACATGCGCATAAATAAAAAAAATCCCCAAAACAAAACAAAAAACAACAACAGAAAAACACAAAAAAAACATACACACACAAAACCACAAAAAACAACTGTTAATATCGTTCCCTTTTGGGTCTGTAATTCACTGAGTATAACGTTTGTTTACATAACCCATTTTATTGAACTGGTCAGTGATTCGCATAATATAATTTATCCAATTTGTTCAATATATTTAGTATTAAAACTAAACGCACTCGTATTTTATAGTAATAAGAGAATACGAAAGTGGTAGATATAGATTGAATTTCAAAACATTGTAACCTTTTTTTACAGTGGATGGAGAATTATGTAATGAAGATCTTGGAATGAATGATGGGAGTATTCAAAATAATCAAATATTTGCCTCACCATGGTTAGAGCCGTTCCCTTCAGGACCTTCCTCAACTGGTTGGTGCAATGACAAAGTGAAAGATGCAAATCCGTGGATTATGGTTTGAAAATCAAAACTCCATCATAACACTCACAAAAAGCGTTTTTCTTGACATTTGCACAGTGTCATTTCTAAAAGAAATATTTTGAATTCAAAAGCCGTACTTTTAAAGATATGTTATACTTGCTTATATCATAAATTTGTTGTTGAACGTAATTTTTAATGCGGACCGCTTTTTTAACCAAAGATAAACAAATAAAAGATGCAAAATTTCTGTCTATATTTACAAAGAGTCAAACAGTTGTTCCAAGTTTTGTCAGCTTTTTAGTTAAACGGTATCATTAAGCTATACGTTTAAACATTTTGACATGTGTTCAGTAATATAAATGAACAGATTATTTTAAGTGTATTTGTGATTTTAGGTTGATTTAATAGTAGTAACGAAAATTGAAGGGGTTACAGTATATGCTTCGAATAGAGCAAATTTTGATTCAAGAGGTAGCTGGAACTCATTCTATCTTCTGTATGGGAATCAGACAAATAACTTAAGCATTTATAGCGAAAAGGTAATGTATTAGATTATTATGAAATGTTTCACATTTATGTCAAACAAACACATGCATCACTTGGATTTTGGAAACAGTCTAACCAAATTTGACCAACTACTATAGATATCCTTTTATATTAATTGTATCGAATTCATATGGAGTATCTACCATTTTTGTAAAGTGTATTGGATGGAAATATTTTCCTTTTGAAAATACTTAAATTGTCGCATTTATATATTTAGAAAATGTGACATATCCCTTCTTTTTCATTGAATAGACATATTGTGTTCTTCTTTATAATATTATTTGCGCAAAGTTGAAACAAAACAAGACAATTATGATAAAAGGCAAATACTAAATAACGCATTGATGCAAGTGATTCAGGATTTTCTACATTAACTACGTCATGCCACTGTTCTGTTTTTGTTCATGCTTGCCGCATAAACTTAAGGATACCCAGACCTGTCTACGAAGAGTGTTCCTATATACATGTAAATGCCTCTAAATTGTTTTATTGTTATATAGAAAGTGAAGGTTATTTCGTAAATATACATGCCCGGTATACATCTATATCACATTCATTAAAATCCGTTTACTTCAGCTATGTTTATAGCTCGTTGTACATTGACTACTCGTATAGTATAATACAAAAATGGTTGGTAAAAGATCAAAGTTTAAATATGGTCTTAATTTAAAAATCGTTGCCTCTTTGGCATAGGGTGAAATCTGCTATGTATGTGGACAAAATGAAAGTCTTTTTTATCAGTTATTCGTTGGTTTAATGCATTCAAATGTGGATTAATTTCGACAGAACGTACACCCCATTACTGTCGCCCCCAAAGCAACGTTTGTCAAGACGATTGCTCAAGTGACAGAAATAGTAAACATTGATGACAGATACACCACAAGGCAAATTGTTTCGTTGAAAACTCGATAGAAGTAGCTCATAACATTCTCAAACGAGATTTGATGTAATTATGTTTCTTTTTAATAAGAAAGGTCTTTGATAAATGAATTTGCTGAAAGATGAGCAGAGAAAGACTTGCGTACAAAGCGCTAAGTTGTTGCTTAAGCAGTTTCCAAATTAAAGTGAACGGTCTTAAGAAATGTGAACACTGTTGACAAATGTGTGTTCATTTTGATAAGATAAAACGAAAGAAAAACACAAGATTAGGGCTTAAAAGTCCGGCAAAAGACAATGCATTGCAAATAGGTTATCAGTATGAAGAAGGTAATGTATGACAAATGTGTGTTCATTTTGATAAGATAAAACGAAAGAAAAACACAAGATTAGGGCTTAAAAGTCCGGCAAAAGACAATGCATTGCAAATAGGTTATCAGTATAAAGAAGGTCATGTATGCCATTTTCTTACAACTCATGGTCTGTCATTCATGTTGATGTTCAAAAAGGAAAAAAATCTGATAATTCGAAATTTTTCAAGACAAAAACAAAATCTTCGTAAACTTAACAAAAAATTTCGAAAACGAAGTCGCGCGACAGGTTCGACCAGTGTAAAATTGCTGCATGGCAACGCGTTATTAAAGTGATATGCTTTCTGAAGCAAACAAATGTTGTTTTGCTCTCCCCATTAACTGTATTCACCTGACCATGCCTACTATGATTTCTTTTCTGTCTCCGAAGCTAAAACAAAACCTTTCCGGTATTCATTGTTCAGTGCAAACACCTCGGTTATGCATGTTTCCTGTGTCTTTGTTGCCGAGGCGCCACACTTTCCTCTCACGACTAGGACACTGGGGCCATGGCATGACAGATCAAATCAACTTTCAACGGTAGCAAATTGTATTCTTTAATCATAGTTAATTTAATTATTCCATCCTACTGGTCAACATATGTGCATCGAATAAAACCATTTTAATAACAAAAGATAAGTAAAAAGGAAAGGTGATTATTAGATTAAAAATTTTACGGCACACTGCTTAAATT